TTCTCAAACTGATAACCTAACTCTTTAAAGGAGTCATTTAGTAACTAACTAGGAAAAACAGTTTCGCTAAGTATTTTTTTAATTAATGATACTAAAATATGAACAGAATACGACTAATGATTAAGGCTAAAAAGTTTAACTTCTTATTTACAAATGCATTTTTAAAAAATATGTATTTCAGACAAATTCATTACGTGTGGCGAACAAACCAGCTAAGAATGGCCAGTGGTCCGTTGCATGTGTAACTTGAATGCGAAACCTTTCTTTAGCAATCTTTCACGAGAGCAAACCGGTCTTTAATATTCGTACATCATTATTAGTCAAATAAATTGTTAATCCAAGAGAATCTTATTTTAGTTTAAGCAGAATTTTATATGCTGCCTAACTCTGATTTAAATACGTGCAATAAATTAGGTATTGGATAATAATCTTATCGATTATAGTTCATGTCATATCCTCAAACATGAGTAAAATTAGAAAGATTTAATGATGCTTCATGCTTTCTTTTTCTTTATTTTTACCCTTCATTTAATTAGCTCAGAAGACTTCAATATGCTAAATTTCTCGAATAAGACTAGAGTTTACGATTAATTCTTATTGGCAGTAGTAAACTTTCCCACTCATAGTCTAATTGATTTTGATGTTTTAGCTTCAATTTTTCAAATCTCTAAATGAAGAGCTTTATCATATTCATTTGTTTCTCTTTTATCACGTGTCAATGTTTCAGAAATTGTATTTCCTCCAATTCCTTCAGCAATAAGCAAAACTTTATTAATTAATAGATTAAATATTCGGACATACAGTTTGATTTGATTTAAATTTTGGATTACGGAAAGCATTCTAGAACTTCTGCTTAAGGGAAACGATGCCTTCAGAGAAGACTTTCTAATTGAAAGTGACTTTTATGTACGTTACGTTACACATTTAACAAACCAAGAAAATGGCCATCTATCCCATGGAGGTAAGAATAAAAGGAAAGGCCAATCCCACACTACGAGTGAAGCATTGCTCCCAGGCCCTTGTTCTCCAGATGGGGTGTTTTTTTGTTTACATCCAGAGCTTCCTTGAGCGCTTTGATTGTATTCCTACACACGAAAGTTCCATACCGATCGAAAAGCGGGACACTTTCGCATAAAAGAAATATTCAATGTTGGATGGATAATAGAAATTTGTATAGTTTAGCGACATTTACGCAAAAATCACATCTTTGTTATTTTTTAATAACTTGCAACAGCGATTTTGCGGTACCTTTAAAATTTTGTACGTCTTTCGATACCCTTGATAGAGTATTCGCTACTTTTATTTTATGTTCCAAACACCAAAATGTTTTAAATAAAATACATATTATTCTCGTCCACATATTATCATTTTATTTTTATATAACTGAAAAATAATCACTTTGAATTTACACTTTGAGTTAACTTAAACAAAAAAATAAAGTTCTGCCTCCCTTTTTAAAATTTTATTTAGCAATATTTTTAATTGATATCTAAATGTAATATAAAATTATGAATGAAAAGTCTTTGTTATTCAGTACATATACTTGAATAGTGGTCTACTATTTTTGAAGAGTTTCAAGACATGAAAAAAGCATCATCAATGTTATTAATCGGTATATCAATATGCTTTTCATATTTTTACGTTCTGGATTACCTTGCAGTATGAAAATTTAGGGTATTTGTAAATTTAGATCAATTAGTTATTTTAACTGCTTTAAAAAATGAAGCAATACTATGTAAAGTAATGCAATCAAGATTGCTATCTGATGACAGTGAGTTTAAATGTGAAACGGATTATTATTATTTATTATATTATCAGAGAACTATTAAACCGGGTAAAATCGCTAAAACAGGTATTGAATGCTCAAAATTTATTTGCTAGAAAATTTGAATTTGATAATGAATGTATCCTAAAACGTGTTTTAAGTCAAACGTTTGACAACCGATGGCTAGATGTAAATATAAAATTATGCATTTAAAAATATTTCTAATTAAGCCCATTCGTTTTTATTTAATAACGTAAGGCCTGCAAGGGCTGTCTGCCTAAAGGGAGAGATGCCATTGTGGAAGAATTTCGAAGGGAAACTGACTTTTAGTATGTATTAAAAATAATGCATGTAATTTTCGTTCAAATTATATTTATGCATATTTCTTATGTAAAAAAATTCCGGTACATGCTAAATTATTGTAAATTACTTTACTCGAAAAGATAGTGGAACGCACAGAAATTAACGATTTGCACTGGCCGAAAATGAAAATTTTTAATATATATGGGTTTTTAGGCATATGCTTGCAAAACGCATGTAAATGCCTTTAACAAAATACGTAAATATTTACTAAATTATTTATAAATGCATTTGAAAATTAATGATTTATTCATTCATAAACTCCCGTGAAAGTTAATGTGAAGAAAATCTAATTGTTAAATATATCTAAATTTATAATGATTATAAATATTTGAATATATAATAAACTTAACATTTAATTGTGAGCATAAATTGAAATTCTGTTGACAAATACATTTATAAAACTATTTAAGCAAGAGTTGTTCGTACTGGAAAGCAATCTGTTAAAAGGTATTGTAAAGCTAATTCTATGAAATGCGTACTTAAGGAAATAATAAGGAAGAGTTTTAGAATATGTATTTGCGTAAGTTTATATAGTTCTATATTTCTTAAGACGCCATTGAAATACTAGTTTAATTTTTTAATCCTTTTTTGATTTTAAATCCTTTTTTGATACCCTATGGATTTAAAAATTTGGAAATTGCCCATGACGAAAAGTCTGCAATAGAATTTTGGGTAAAGTGCAGAATCACCCCGCTTGACGCGTTTTTAAGAATTGCACATACTCGGTATCCATGTACACATCGACCTATTTTCACTTAAAAAAAAATTCCCAGAATTGTACAAAAATGGCACTGCGCACACGCTTGACTTTATCTGTGTACACATCGACCTATTTTCACTTTAAAAGGAAAAGAAAATTGACAAAATCCAATTGTTTTTACCCTTGTAAAAGCGACAACAATAAGTGGGCGATTCTGCACTTTACCGAGAATTTTTTCAAAGAAAAGGCATCATTCGTTATAGAAAATTATGTTTAAACAACCAATGAGATAACTCGGTAGCGAAATAGCGATGCAGGCATCCATTCAGTTATGTTTAGCAATTTTTATATAAATTATAATATGATCTGAAATAGTTATTTACCCTTATGCTTCTATTCAGTCATATTTATCCTTTTTATATAAATTATAATATAAAAAGTATTATATGAATTAACCTTTCATCTAAATTAAACATCAATCTTGAGTTATTTAACTATTATACTTCTGGTTTCTGTGAGTAGTCTTTTGCTTCATTTTATTGTTTGCAAACAGCGTAAATCCTTTTGTTTTTCCTTTAGTTTTTGAACTTATGTGTGGCACAAGATAATGGATTGATAGAATTGTGTTTTGTGACAGCCATGTAGAATGGCTCGCTTATTTTGTATCAATTATTTCGCATCGCTGACATTTTATTATAATTAGTGTAAGAAATAAAAGTGAAGGAATACAGTCCATTTGTTGATTGATTATTGTTTGTGAAACATATTAAGAAAGAACAACTTCTTTTGTTGCCTTAGGACTCTGAAATATTGCAGAAAAAGGAAGTATATATATATATTTATATGTATATTTATGACGTAATTACAAAATGTTTACATTCAATCATGTCAAAACCCATTGATCTTAATGTCATTTAATATTTTGGTCTTTACGAAGGGATCGCCACTGCTTCAAAGTAGTGAATGGGGAAAAACAGAGTCTCTCGTTTTACTTCCTACCTCTATGATCCAGCGATCCCATTCACATCGAATCGATCCCAAGTCGAACTGCCTGTGAATATATGCTTGGTACACCTTGACGTATTTCAAAGTTTCAGATTAACGACCATAATATTTTTAAGAGAAATTTCTATTTTTTAGTGAGGCAAGTTCCACTCTTGCCTCACCTTTGTTCCGGCTCTGGTTTTCAAGTATATAAGATGGAATACCCAACCTTTATTCGAGAAATATTTATGAAATTCCTTATGAGTGTTTTTTTTCGTATATAAAAGTGTTTAAAATTCAGAAGAATGAACATATCCGATATTACTTATGAACATATTCAAAATTATTTATGACTAACGCTGATTCTTGTTGCTTTAACTCCTCCAACAAAATCTGATATGTCAAACATAAGAAAATTTAAAACCCCCATCAAAGCATTTCCTTGCTTAAATAAAAATAATAATTTTCAAGTTTCAATTTTCAAAATTACAGCTCCTTGAAAATTCCGAATTTTTCCTCCATGGGGATCTCGTGAGTGATGTAACTTCTACACCATTCTTGTCTGGAAACGGGATAAAACCGGTTCCAGGTTCCTGTACACTCCTTTCAATCAAAGTGCTGAAAATTCTGAGTATAGCATTACAAATTCAACAGCAAATTTTGCAGTAACAATGCTTTAATACCATTGGCCTTCGTTTCAAAGGCATTTTGTTCAGAAATAAAATCCATAAATGCTGTCTTTTACAGTGAAATGTTTTCATTTATTACTAATGCATTTGATGATCATTATTACTTATTATTATCATTCTTTAGGAATAAAATTATTTTATAGGTTACCCTTGCTGGATACACCCTTGGAATTCCAGATAGTATAATGGGCATAACTTTCTTGGCAGCTGGTACAAGCGTGCCTGATGCTTTTGCCAGTTTAATCGTCGCCAGACAAGGTAGGGCATGGAAACTTTTTTTATGATGTGCTCTGTTTAATTAACAACTTTCGCTAATTTTTTATCGATAAAAGAAAATATATTATTCTGATTTATTTTGTTTAAAATAGCGTTCTGTGATCAGTATATATATATATATTGAAATAACTTTGAATACCCACTAGAAATTGATGTGTTTTTTATTACGGGGTTGGTTTTCAAATTTTCTTATTGTAGCTTGTCAAGGTAGCAACACTTCAGAAGTTCCAATATAACTTTAAATTTATTGGTATACATTTTGAACATAACATGCATTGGTATGCATTACAAAATAGCACTATTTTATGTTAAAATACAAATATCACGTCAACATTATAAGAGGGATTCGTTGAAAGAAAGAAAATCACAAAATTGTTTCATTCACTGGCAGCCAGTTTAGATTTATAATACAGTTATCTCATCTAAAGACGCTTGAGCCTGGGAGAAACTTTTCCGAGAAACGAGCCTCGTCTTCTCTTACCACTGGCGGGTCCTAGCCTAAACATGTTTCTCTGAGACTGATGTTCTGGCTAGCTACGCAAGACATTAAAGATTAAAAACCACAAAAGGTTTATAATCGAAAATAATGTGCACGTTTCTGATAGCGTAATTACCGAGATCTCAAAACGTTTCAATGCTCTGAAAGAAAATTTTAATTTTTACTTCCTGAAGAAAATAAAAACTGGCAAGAAGAAACTGCATTGCGCATACCTTCCAGAGCAACATTACTGGTGGCATTTGTCGAAAGCTGATGAAGAACTTACTGACCTTTCTTAAAGTACGCTTCTAAAACTCGATTTTAAATTGTAGGAAGTTAGTAAATTAACACAATTCTTATTATCTCTTCAACAAACTCGTCGAGCTCTTTCTAGTTAAGCTTTGAAAATATTACTCCCTTGTACATCTTCATACTTTGTGAAGTTGGATTTTCGGCAATGGTAGGAGTTTAACCAAGAAACGAAATAAGCTATAATTGTCGAACTCTTTATGTGTGGGAACAACTCTCCGAGAATGAAATGGGTCGCTATAAGTTCGGTTTCTAAAACGTTGGTTTGAATGTTTAAAATTCTTGGGCTATCAAAATGGCTAGTGCCGATAACTAATGTAACAGATCTGGGTACATAATAGTACTATGGTGAGCGTCGCTGCCAAAAGCTCTATATCTAAAACTTTCAAAAACTCCACCTTAAATACTTGCATCGTAATGACAGCTAACGAAAACAGAAGTGATAATACAGATCCAAAGGAGAAAATGACTTAATTAATATAAAATATACTCTACAATATTAATAACGGTAATTGCAAAACAAACAAAAAAAAAAAAAAAAAAAAAAAGAAAAAGTAATCTTTGGAATTCATTTAATTATTCATTAATTGAATGCTAAGCTTTAATTGAGCTGGAAACGAGAATAATCAGATTTAACTTAGATTAACATATAAAATATCAAACAATAATTTTAGCAGCTTATTAAATATGTTCGCATTTGTTAATGGTATTAGATCTTCTGAGCAGCAGAAACCTTAAAATTCTCAATTTTTAAGCTGATGTTATTATTTAAACAAATGTGATTTATGACGACAAATACTATCTTAGCTTGTAGAGTTCCTCACTTTGTAATTTCTGAGTTACTGTTGGAAGTGAAGAATCTTAAAAACTGATAAGCGAATAATCGCTTGAGTTCGTGTGACAGGAAACAATAAGATAGAAGGGTAAAGTAACCCTTTATTATTCCAACTAAGGTTTAACAAAACTCAGTCTTGGAGTGTACAATAAAGCCAATGCTTCGGCTTGAACTTAAGAGACTAAGAATAATACTAAACTATTCTTAACTAAAGAGATATAGCCGAAGCTATCAAAATTCTAACAGAATTGGCCCCTTAACGTTAATAGACTGCGAAGCTATCAAGGGCCTAAGGTACGGCCGAGCGTGATAATAACTTACGAGAGAGTAGCCTAAAAGGACAGGACACGTGCAGACAGAATACCTGGTATCTCTCTCCCTAAGACAGAAGAGCTTCGCGGTTAACCCTTTGCGGCACAGTGTGTCCGGTCTGGACACACCTAAAAATTTGCTTCTGTACGCACAGAAAAATTTATTAAAAAAGGATTTATAGGTTACTATAGGTTACTCTGAACCTTCTTTATTTATAGTAGATGGCAGCTCAACACAAACCAGTCCATATATTTTAGCCATGTTTAGTTTTTTAAGACTCATTTTTCACAGAAATCTTCCAGATTTTTTAGGGTATAAAAGGAATTTTTTGAAAAGAAATTTCTATGTTATTTTTTTGGGCTGTATGTTTAATCTCCTTATTCTATAGGTTTTAAAAGGGTTTACCTTGAAATCTTACCTAGAATCAAACGGCGAACCCTAGTGTGCCCAGACCGGGCTCACCGATAATCTAGGACAACTGAGAGTCTGTATTCTTTGTTTCTCCGCATCTCATCGGTCAGTTCATTGACAACAATGTTCGTTTCAGCACTCTTTTCGAAGCTCTATTCAATCAGTGTGCCATTTTGGGCACACCTAAAGAATTAAAACGATAACTACTATCTTCACAAAATTTTACTTGTGTACTCCTCTAGGCCTAATTAGACTGCCCACCTTTTTTTTTTTTTTTTTTTTTTTTTTTTTTTTTAATCAAACTCCGACTTTAAAAGGTAGCGTTCCGGAAAGAGTTAAATACCGCTCTTCCTCGTTATGTATTCAGACGTGATTCTAAAACTACGTTCTGGCCGGAAATAAAAGTAAGTTGAAGTTAACAATCGATAGGAAAGGAACTTTAACTCAAAATTTAACTGTTAATAAAAGTAACATAATTCTTACAAGCTCTTCTCGATATCAACAATTCCGAGTTGTTTAGAAGCTGGATTAAATTTATAAAAATGTGTAATAATTTTGCAAATCTTTGAACTAATGGTGAAGTGTTCAAATGCAACATAAACAACTCAAAAACAAAGGATTTTTTAGAAAATCCGGTTCAATACGTAGCAGTGGTTGATCGATTCGCAAATAAATCCACTGTTCCATTTTTCCTCTTAACGAGGATTTCTTTTACCAGTTATCTAAACCCGTCATTTTATCAAACTATGGTATCTATTTTGAGGTAAAGCAACCGAGTTACTTTATATATATATATTAGGGGTAAGGGTGTGGGTAAAATCCATCCATCTTTGTAGACTCTATAACTGGGACACCAGTAAAGAGGGATAACGTTGTTGTTCATCCGAGCAAGTGACATCTGATTCTTCTTCTTTACTTAAAACTACTGTCACAGGAAATTATGGGGGATATCCAAGGCATGCAGAGCTTTTAGGGAATATATGATTTATGCCTTAACCGTAACCAAATAGTAACAGAAACTATTTTAGTGATGGCTGCATAATTTAAGTTACATGACTGCATAAGCTAAACTTAAAAAATCGTTTAATTTCTATTAATTGCAGCTTCGTTTAAATTCATATGTAAATTTTGAAATTTTAAAATTAAAATATATGAAAAACTAAGTGAATTACAATGTATAAATTATTATTAATGAATTGCAGCGTAAAAATATTTCGTTTGTCTACAACAAGAATGTTCTCGAAATTCTCTAGAAATTTAACCTGCAGTTTATCCAGGATGGTTGAAGAAATTAGCGTACATTGTAAATTCTTTAATATTAATACTAGACATGTATACTTCCATATTCTAGTCATAAAGTTTCTCGAAGTCAGATAAAGAAGTTAATTTCTTGAAAACACTTTTAGCGTTGACTGCGTGTCGGAAGATTCTGTAAACAAAAAATCTAATTTTTATACGATATTCGTAAATGAATACATGTTATTAATCCGTTTCGTTAACGCTTTCAAAAAATTTATGGAGGAGCTATGAAACAAAATCTGCTTATTTTGGCTATTAGTGTCCGCAAATTGCATTAAAAGCAATCGTTGTTAGCTTTATAAATTGGCCCGAAGGAAATATTTGTCGCTAATATCTCCTCGAATTTTGCTATATGGAGCATAAAAATATTTTATAAACATAAAAATATTTTATAATTTGATTATTTGGGACTTTTTCTTCTGCAGAGACCATAGTATTTGGATCTTATCGTTCTACAGAGAATCAGTTTGCAAGTTACAGAATTCTTTCGCTAGTGTCAAAAACTTTTCAGAAGATTATATGCATTATTTTTTAGAAACGTTACTTTAAAAAAAGGCACACCCGTATTTAAGCAAATAAAACCTGTAACTAACTTCGAAGCCTTAGCATACATACCAAACCTACTGTTTGTTCAAATGTTGATTTAATGAACTTTGTATATTCAAATCAAATGCATATGAAATTTTTCATAAGTTGTATATTTTATATGAACTTTTAATAAACGTTGTTTATACATTAAAAATTATAGTTTTAAACGTTTTTAATTTTTAGTGCGTAAAGACCAAAGATTTTATGAAAAGAAACATATGAATAATAAACACAATCTACATTATAGTGTGATAAATGTAGCCTGAATAGTAAATTTAAAAAGAATTCAAGATAAATAAATGAAGTCTCTGTAGGATAAAGCATTATTTTATTAAATTCTACTAATTATTGTAGTATTTTATAAATGCTACCTTACGATTATGAAACTTGCATTAAATATCTATTTTAAGATCTATGTTACATTTTTCTTACATTTACGAAAAAAATTAGTATTGTAAACACCCTGAAAAAAAATATCAACTTCTAACTAAAATAGATATTAAAATAAGAATAATGTCTAACAATTACAGAACTTTTATAAACGTCTCGTTTAAAAATAAGACTTTTATAATAGTACTGTCATTTTTCCCTCACCAATTTAATTTAATAAAAGGTCACTTCGTGTAATTTATTGCAAAATTTATTTTTACTTTAATGCATGAGAGCCTTGTAGAATCATTTTAATGAATAAAATAAATGCAAAACATTTTATTTTGTCCGTCCACGGTATAGCCCTGAACGGAGCTTCATCTGATTTAATGTTCAAAGGAAATTTTATCTAATCCATCTCTGATCAAAGGCTAAAGCTATTTATTAATGTAATAGTTTGAGTTTTCTTAGGGATTCTTTGTGAGAAATTTACCCAGTTTCCTCGCGTGCAGCGCAGAAGCCACTTTCTCTAAGCAAGTTCCTTTACAAAACCAACTTATCAAATTCTCAGTTATTTTACGATGTATAACTAATTACCCACCAAATCACGCTTCTATTTGCAGTCGTTAAATATATTACATAAGTAGATAGTGCTCAGACGCCCTGGACTTCCTTGCTGTAATCCATCCAAATATCTAGTCACATCTATACACTTTGGCACGCGATGAAAATAGTAGTACAAATAAAAAAATGAGGTTTAGGACCTAACCTAAACTAATCTGGTACTTCCTTATTAAAGCGGCCATGGCGCTTAGTGGCCAAAACTGGCAAACTTAACCGTCCAAATGAAAATTCCAAATAGCGCCAGACTTAATAAGGGGGTAATAAGGGAATATCATTAATGTTTAGAATTTACAATAATCAGACATTTTTTAATAAAAAAATTAATTCCTACGTATTAGCCCAATCACTTCAATAGAATTCTCCTAATTTTCAGAATGAGTAAAATTCTAGCAACCATGCTAATAATAGCCTCTCAGGCAACCATGCAATTCGTCAATTTTAACAAGCAATGCCTCCCAATTCCTATGTATACTTTCTGTTGTATTCCGACGCCTTTACGCGCTTTTAAGTAGATTTATTAGGTGTTTTCGAGATAAATACGTAAGGTAAAATATGTACGTATTAAATAATTTTCCTAAATTATAAGTCATCATTCTTTTCTTCTGCAAAAATTCTCCAAAACGCGCAGAAGTAATTGCGTTACTATGGGCACTTGTATTCGTTTTGCAATATAGTAAATACATATTGCCTAGTGTTGCCTAATTTATAGTTATCACCATTGAAAATATTTTAAACAACTTCCCCGAATTTGGATAATAATGTAATTATGAAGCATGAAAACAAGAGATTACAATTTTAGCTTGACTCTTGAAATTATTCTTGAATAGTAGGGAAAAATCGAAAATTATTTTTGCAAAATTTTCTGAATGATATGTTTTGCACGCTCTGAAAGACTCTCAACCCGCAGAGAAGAAAACATTTCTGATATATATTTTTGCTTTCCAGGTCAAGGTGATATGGCAGTTTCGAATAGTCTCGGAAGCAACATCTTTGATATTCTGATAGGTTTAGCCTTTCCGTGGTTCATACAAACAGCGTGCATTGAGCCTGGATCTATCGTAAGTAAATTTTGCAATGTTATAAAAATAATTAAATCAGCTTTCTAATAAATTACTAACTGAGTTTTATCTTATTTTTAAATATGCTTATTTTTATCTAAAATGTGGTTAATGAGTAAAACGTGTCATTCCACAGCATGAAATTTTCATTTTCAGTTTATTTTTGTGTATTATATTTTCCACTTTTATCTTATTTAACAAATTCTGCTATAACTAAATTGTATTTAATAGCTATGTTGAGAACTTTCTTTTAAGATGTTGCCTTAATTAATCGTTGTCAATATTTAAATTCTGATGTGCAAGTTTGGTGGTATTTATACAGCCGGAAACAAATATTTGCTGATGCCCAAAAGATAGAAATATCTGAAATAATAGTCATATAATATGTGAAATAATAGTAAGATAGTGAATGCTCGTGACTTAGTTATTCTAAAACGTTTATGAGTTGTAAATCAATCCTCCCCTCCCAAAAAAAAAGAGAAATTATTTTGTGCAGTAATACTGTTGCGTGCGTACGAGTTCGTAACAGATTGAATGCACACAGGTCCGACAATAGGTTGATAAAATTTATTTCATCGAAACAAACACTTCAGAGTTCTGGAATTTTCCACAAAGATAGTCGTACAATTCTTCAAAATATGACCGAGTACATGTCAAACTACTATGAACGTTAAACACAACGCAATGCAAAGCGTAGTTAAAGATAAAGCTACCTGTAGATATATCAGTACTTCGATCTCATGCCTAGCTAACAGCAACAACTACAACTGAGAGTAGATGCTCTCACTGGCCTTATATAATTTTCACTCGGCCACTGAGATATTTCTAGTATTTTCTGCTCCTTGAAACTCCTAGAAAGCAATATGAGGGCCGAATTAAGGTTGCAACTAGTACTGTGATCAATTACATTTATTCAATTACTATACCTATTATAGTGATACAGGGACAGGACCCAAATGTCACCAAATTCCGCGATAAAAATAAGTCGCCGAAACCGTTGCCTGTTTGGCGATTTCTCACCAAATTACCGAGATACCCATTTTTTTCTCAATGTTAAATGAACTTACCCCTGTATTCTTACTTTTCCGGCATGGCTAGTCTCTTTAAATTTTTCTCGCATTACATTACACAGAAAAATACAACAATTTCACATATAATTGCACTTAAATCACCTGTGCACAAATTCGTAACAGTACGTTGCAGAATTAATCTAATGTTAAAAAAATGTTGTTGCTGGCGCTAATCCTTTTGGTCTGACTATAATCTATAGAATTTAAAATCCACCAATCTAATCATAGCTTACCCAGTTCCGCCCAGCTTTAATGAACACCGAAATATAGATCCAAGGATCTTCTGTCAACTTTTCCAAACCACAAACCTCATGACAATATTTAAGCTCGACAGTATTTTAAATTCCTTCATGCTGCGAAGACACTAAACATTTACAAATATCCGTGACATTTTTTAGATTTGAATCTGTATAGAACGTTATGACACTCAGCGTCACTAACAACCATACTGAAAAGGCCAACATATTGTTACGAAATGTAAAGGCGCGGTGAGATGGCTTGCAAAGCAGTTTTAGGGTTGCCATAAACTAACAAGGTAAAGCAGGGTTGCCACATTTGACGAGAAATCGCACATTTGGCGATATTTGGCGCCAAAATTGGCGATATACAATGGACGGTTGGAGAACCTTCTGGAACGAATTCTTACCGGTTTAGTCCAGAATGTTCCCGACACAAGCCGAAAGCTATATAAACCGTGCTGGTCTGCAGTCAGGAAGAGTGTGCTTCATCGAGAGGAAGTGTGTCTCTCATCGAGAGTGTGTGTGCCTCGTCTAACGATTCAATCCCTGCGGAGTCGATCGAGTTGACAGCCGGGCAGCGAGTGCCGAGTGATTCGTCGAGTCCACTGAAGGAGTCTCGTAGTCTATCGCGGTTAGTGCATTGTCGAGAGAGCGTGTTGAGCTCCGGGAACGACTGAACCGAAGAAGTCGGGAGCTGTGCTCGTGTGTCGTCGAGTGCATCGCGAGTTGTAGCGTGGAGAGTCTCGAGAGTATGTGGAGTTCCGAGAACGACCAAGCAGAGTCGGGAGCTGTACTCCGGAAAGCAGAGTCGGGTGCTTTGCAGGAAGCTATCTCCACCGTTATTGCCTGACAGTGCTGTGCCGCTGATCGTGTCAGCGTGTTTATAGTAGTTCATCGACGACTGTAAAAAGTGACTTTGGAGCTGTCCTGATTAATATTGGCTAAATAAAGTGTGTTTCGATACTTCACCAAGTGTCGTCGTTATTCACTCCAAATCTACGAACCCCGTACGAACGTGAAGGAAGAAAATAACGTAACAACTGGTGTCTGAAGAATAGAAAAAGAAAAATCGTAACAATATTAACTCTGTGGAACTTCCGAATGGTCTTTCTAAGACTTCTAAGATTGTCACTAGGCGGTTTCAAGCAGATATTCCAGAAAACCGGCAAAATAAATTCTATCAATCTCTTTAAAGTAATAATATAATGCTTCAAACGAATCCCTCTTTAAATCATCATAATTATGTTCCGGATTAGCTAAGGAAAAATCTGATCACTTAATGTTAATGCATTAATAATTCAACGTTAACACATAAATATCTGAAAAAAAAAGCTTACTTTTACAAAGGAATTTGATTTAACATATTGTGAATAAATTAGTCTATTGCTTCATAAAAGCTAATACGATGCCATTATTTTTTGTAAATTACAGGCTGTTATAAATAGCAGAGGAATGGTGTACTCGGTTATACTACTGTTTCTCACAATTGTTATCACAGTAAGTATACTTTTTGTAGTTTCATGTATTGTAACACATAATAGAAGTTATGTAATAGTTTTTACACCTATTAATATAGAACTCAAAACTATTATAACGTAATTCTTCTCATTTTCGTGATCATGTTCTACAAGCAGAAAAACCTCTGTTCGCGAATTTAATTCGTTCCTGAAGACCGTTCGTCATTTAAGTTTTACTTACGTTTAAGTTCTACTAATAGTTAGCGTTATGCTAGTTTTTCTAACACATGTTTCGTGACGCATTCGCTCAGCCCAGAGGTTTTTGCAAATTTTTATGGCAAGCGACGAAAGCTAAAGTTAAAAGGAAATAGTAACCGTTATAATCCTGAGTAGAAGTTTGGTCGCTATTGTAGCGGTTTGCCTAGACAGGCGCTCTTTTAAGTAGAAGTAAACGCCTAACATTGTCATGGTTGTTAAATGCTGAAAGTTAGTTGTTTTTCTCCCGTTAGATCCAGTTAGTGATGTAGCTTCACGTACATTTGCTAGAATTATAACCCAGCCAATATATCTGCAGAGTTCCAGCGAATAGCCGTCAACAAGAAATTAAACTATTTGTCTTGTATTACTTTAAGTATAATTCCGTCAAGATGTGAAGAATAAAGTTCTATGTTAACTCTTATCTTTTGCGCTGTATTCACAGTAGTATTTGTATAAACAGTAAGTATTAAAAAGGAGAGATAATTACTAACATGTAGAGGTAATGTCTAACAGTCTGATGCTATGAAATTAACACTTTTAGTTGTTATTAAATTCATCGAAATTTTATAATATGATCAATACATGAACTTTTCAGTATTTGAGAAATATTATGCATCTGAATTAATTCTGATTTTAAACTGTATAACTAGGTATCCAAGTTAAGCGAGCAAATGATAAGTCGTTAAGTATCAAATTTCTTTTTCATAACGGTTTTTAAATCAAAGGATAAAGTACTTTTTCTTATTTTACAGATTGGTGGAATATCAATGAGCAGATGGCAACTAACCCCAAGGCTTGGAATCCTCCTTTTGAGTGTATACGCCATTTTTCTCATCATATCTATTCTACTAGAATTTAATTTCCTCGGATATGTGAATCCGCCCATGTGCCAAGATTGAGCTTCTCGCCAGCAACCCTATTATCCAGCTGTTCCCTAGTCTTGTCACCATTTGTAAAATTGTGTTACGGTTACGGTGGGAACGACATAATGAAATGAATAGCTGGTGTCCCAAAATGAACGTTTACATGAACGTGTTATTGATGTATAAATTCACTTAGTAGTGAATGTGTGAGAATGTAGCATGATTGACTTCAACTCTGCAGGAAAACCACACTAAATGTTGATGAGAAAATGTCATTTGCATTTCAAAGATGCAAAGGAATAACCAGACAGTATTATTTTAACAGTTTTGAGTTTATTTTATGAAAAAAATACACTCCAGTTTCAGAAAATATTTTAAGCCCAGAAAACTTTCAACAGTTTCAGATAAGCGCTCGGGTGCATTTAGAAAGCTGAAACTTTTATGTTTAAAAAATTTAATGAACAATATTTAAAAATTTCAGAAAGGATGGTGGCAAAGCAAATTAAAAAACAAACTAGTATTCGAGTCTTCCTTACTCTACCCTGCTGCCAAATTCTTAAACTGTTATTTTAACACAAAAGCTAGAAAACAGTGAAGAATTAATCGTTTTCTTAAAAATTAATATATTAAAAAGAAGTTTAATAACAAACTCCTGTTTTAAAAAAACTTTAAAATTGAGCTACACTGAATAAACAATAATAAATATTTATAGGAGATTCTACAAAATCTCTACATATTTGAATCTGCTTATATTCTATCAATTTTTTCGCATTTTTAAAACTTAGCTGTGGTTTAGAAATCAAGCGCAAAAAGCTCTTTGTAACGAAAGTTTGAAGCGAAAATTGGCGAGTGAGTGTATTTTATTTTTCTAAATAATTAGCCATTAAAATGAATTTAAAATAAGCTTATAACTCCTAACATCTCTTCATAATATACTTAAAATACTTCTAAGCAGCCTTGGAAATGTGTACACAAATAAAGGAAACTTTTGAGACCCAGAAAAAAAAAAGGGGGTGATAGCTATTTAATGTGTTTAACTAAAAATTTTTTAAAATGTTGCAAAAGGAAAATATTCCAATAAATCTTTACCCTATTTAAGTATACCTAACGCTGATTATATTATGATATTATAGCGCTGATTTTTGTTGATTGACCTCTAAATTACTATTTGTTTGGCGTGTTATTTTTACCTAAATTATAATTAATTCGTTTAATAATCTGTAACTCGAACTTTCATTCTGGGATACCAGTCTTTACTACTTTGCATTCAGTGTATAACCAAACCAAAGAACAAGGACTGAGAGATATTTTAAACTAGTCTTAAAACTATTGCATTAGAATTATTTCAGATTTTACGTGTAGTTCCGCTCATGTAGAAGCTTAAAATGCACAAAATGATTATGACATATCTACAAAACCCTCATATCCATTTCAAGAATCTTAAAAATTAAGAACATTTTTTAATTAACCTTTTTTGTCTTCTGGAAAGTTGAAAATTACTATTTATTTCCCCATATGTAATTAATTATATTATTTAAGTATTTTATATGGAGCAAAACTAATGTAAACAGAAAGTTAGTAGAAATACTTTTGCCACTAAAAATATTGAATGTTCATCTAAAACCATTATTATGCTTTTATTGGTATATATACGAGTATAACAAGATTTTTTCTCAAATAATTAATTGACATAATATCGAGTACTTTATAAAATATAAAGATATATTTTCCTTTAATAAAGGTAGTCACTGGATAAATAGAGAATATATAGGTATGAATATAACGGAATTAATATTTTTATGTGCACTTGTAAAAAATATATAGCTTTGAGAAAGAATTTAGTGGGTAGCGTTTAGAAATACATCAAGAGCTTCATGTGAAACAAAACAATGCATACGAATTTTCATAGAATATTCTATGAAAGTAATAACCATTTGACAAAAATTCTATCAATTTTACTAGTTCTAAATTTTATAAATTTAAATACGGAAGGGTATAATTATGGGCTGATTGTCTAATTATATTATGCATTCGTTCTCTGCTTGTTCGCTTTGGAGCTGTTTAGTTCAAAAAAATCAAAGAAAACTAAATAATCAAATATTGTTTTGGATTTCTGTATAGAAAATTTTGACAGTCAGCTATTTTCTAAATTAAAATGTAGTCCTACAATATGTGCAAGAATTCCATGCCCACAGATACCTTAATATGTCATATAACATTATGATGTGCCAACACAATTATTAGAAAAGTGAAATGCACTTCTCAGAAATCCCAAATGTTCATATGTTTCCTTTCGCTGTCCCTGCACAGGCGAATGAACCTCTTAAATTTTTGTTGCACAAGATTCGTGGGTTCAGTTTTTACTAAGCTTCATAGAAAACATTTTAGAGTTTATCATTTTTAAATAGTAACGCAGCCATACAAGCGCTTTGATGAAACCCCAAAGTACCGTTACCCGATATCATCAGATCAGGGCTTCATAGTTGTTAAAGAAATAAAGCTTAAAGAATTCTCAGACTCTCGTCTCAACCACCAATCCGGAAAGACTTTCATCAGAAGTCGCTGAATAGGCTATGCGAAGTGGGCCGGAATCTATTGTACTGGAAATGTTCAAGGTTGCTGTGGTTTGAAATTATGAGACGAACCAGTTTCTGAAAATTTTGTGATAATTAATATGAGTAAAAAATCATTAAAAAATACAGACCAAACAGAAGCGTTGTTCTCAGACTAGACACGGCATGAGCTAACAACTTGGGTTATAAAAGCTTGTACCAGAATCATCAGCACAAACGAAATATCTATACTGTCGTCCATATAAAATATACTATCCATATCGCACTCTAAACAAAACCAAATTGATTCTGCTTATATATTTATTTCTAACGCTTATGTATAAAAGCCAGTTTAAAATACGGAAATATTTCCTTAAATCGTATTTTGTGTATTGTAGGAAACATTATTATCAGAACAGCCGGTCACAAAAAAGGGAGATGTTTGCGTTTAATATATAAAATTTTGTTGAAAGATTTTCAGTCAGTTTAAGAAAAAATGACTTAAATCACGAAATTTACACCCTTCTTAACATACTAACTAGAAGTTCAATATACTTCTAAGTGACTTGCTAACTACATCTTTTTCAAGTTTTCCTTAAACCCACCTGAATTTTGTTTCAGTGTCTCCAGTCAATGAAATACTCTGCTATTGCTACTGATGCTCCTGTAATCTTGAATAACTGCATGACTTTCTAACTCCCAAGCGCATTTTATTTAAGAAAAAATTTGATAGGTAGATTTCGAAACAGTAACTAGTCAAATCTTCGGTAAAAAGAGCGGCTGCACATGCTAATTCCAATTGCAAAACATGTAATACATTGATGATGTAGTTTCTCTCCTTGGTTTTCTGTCAACAACTTCTTTAATGGCCATAGTAAAATTCTAGCATAATTCTGTATTTAATGTTTGGTCCTACTGATAGCAGTCACACTTCGAAGTTACTTTCTTTATTCTTCAAAAACCTGGAACAAATATTATTCCTGTTGACGCTTAGGTTCTGAATTCCATCGACTGTGAGAAACCTCAGTGCAGCCATTCCGTGGCCTGTTGCTTGATCGCCAGATCATAATGGTTTAACACTATATTTCGACAACAATGATGATTGTTCCAAACACTCAGCACTGGATCTATTCTTCAATCAACACTAGATTTATAGTAGCATTTCCTCTTTGATACTGAAATATTTTGACCGTTATTTTACTGATAATTGTTGACACCGAACAACTTATGAATTACACTACCAGTATCTATTCTATATACCTTTGACGTATCAGCAATAGTTTCTGTCAAAATGCGATGCTCTGCGAAAATCAGATCATGAACTTGAATCGCAGTCTAAAGAATTGACACGTTTCAGGCCTGCCATATTTTGTTAAATCTTCAATCTTAAGAATCTCCAAGCTGAAAACGGGCCTAACTCTTCTTCACTAGTAAACACAATGGATACTTGGCACAATGTACGATGCAGTCAGAAAGTTTTTATGGAGTTTCCATTTGTAGAAATTGGAATTTCATGGCACCCAGGATTTAGATACTTATATATTCCGTGTTATAGCTTCATATGCTTCCGTCCGTGATTTAGGACAAAGGAAAAAAAGGGGAAAATTGTTGAAAGAATTCTGAATTTATTCTATCGTTCCGGTAAAATTTTTTGTCATCTCCTGGGAAGTGGATGCAATTGGAAACTTTTCAACATCACTCCGCTGGTTTTAAACATTGCATCTATGGTCATTAGATCGTAAATAAAAGAAATTAATACTGGTATAGATAAATAAACAAATTTGCCCACGCCGTTCAAATTTAAAGAAAATTATAAGAAATTAAGAAAGAAGAATCATAATTTTTATTTCTCCGGTTATGAAAAACAACATTATGTAGATTCATTATTACCACCAGTTTTAGTGAGGCTGCGAGCAAGTGTAGATTTTAAATAAATATTTATTAAATATATGAAAGCGTAATTGATTTTTTTTATCCTCATTGTCATTTTGTAGTACAAAATCACCATATTCTTTGTCTTTGATACTTGTAACAGCTAAGCGATAATTCCACTTTATAGGGCTGTGTAGTTTTCTTTTATTCAACAATTCTTCATTCTTGAAGACGAATCCGGGTATGCCCACATAAAAGACTAAAAAGTAGTTAGAGTTATTATAAATAAATTTAGAATTTTTTCGCATATTTAAAACAACAAACTGGAGAATGAGTCATTTGTGTTGTGTAGGAAACGGCCAACTACTGATCCACGATACTTCAGACAAATTATTGTAAATAAAAAATCTTAAAAATATTATTTACTAGTTTAAAATATATTTACTGGTTGAATTGTGATCGTCATACTTGAAAATGTATGACGTGCGAGACTGCGTATCGGAAATTCTAAAAAACCGCTCTTTTTAAATATTTTGTGATATTGCTGTTGAATTGAATTTCCTGGTTTAAGTGCTAAGAACATGATATCTAATAAGTAAAGGTAATTCATAAAACCTTTAAAAAATAGCCCTTTCGGCGTAATATAAAATCTGAGAGCTTTCTGATTTTTGTTAATATAATTTAACTATTTTCTATGTTTTTCTTTTCATTATTTATTTCATAAGTTCGATGTGTCAGCACCTGTGGGTATCCATTTCGAAATCTCTCTCTAAATTCTTGTTGAATCTATATTTCATTTATTCTCAGATAATATATTATTCTCATATTAATATTATATTATCTTTTAATTCCTTTTTATTTACGTAAGTTGGAAAAACATTCACTTATTTTCATACGTTCACTTTTAAGCTTATCCTCAGAATTTTTAAATTTGTTATAAAGAATGCAGTTTTTAATGTTTTAATTTCTACAATTTTATTCTAGTTGTTACTGAATTGATGAACTAATTTCATGCTGCACACAATTCAGAAAATCAGTTCCTTAATCGACTTAGTTTTGTTTACACTGTTTTTCAAATAAAAATTTCGTTGACTTTTCGAGAGAAATTTCATAAATTACTATTAAAGAAAATTTTAATTACTTTATCAATAAATTTTCATATAGTTTAGTACTTTTAGTAAATGAACTTTAGTAGTATAACCTCAGGCATTTGTTATCAATACATTTAAAAGAACTCCTTGGGTCGCTGTTAATATAAATTGAAAATTTAAGCTTATTCAATTAAAAGATTTTGGAAAATATTTGTATATTTAAATTTTAACGTAATCATGATATTGCTTTATTAGTGTACTAAGGTAATAAATTATTAATTCCCCAACTTGAAAATACTGATTTAAATTAGAATCATAAATTATAATTACTTTTCATTAATAAAGTAAAATTTTTTATTAAGACTTTTATATAACTTAATTTTTTTAGTAGAGTCCCCAAGCTTTCAATACACTTATGCAAAAGTCATCTGAAGACATTTAAAAAAAGGTACAGAATAAAAGCAGCATCTATAAAAGCATAAAATGTATGAGAGAACATTCTCTTTTAAAAGTATATAAGATTAATAAGACACACACATAAAGGGTTTATATCGTTTCATTACAGAATTAAATGCTTGTGGATAACAGTAGAATACAGACGTACCTTTGAAATGAAAGCAGGAATATCAGTATATATATTTGGCCCTAGGTTTCACTTCGTGGTACATAAGAAGATGCTTTTTGTAAAAAATAAATTATTTCAGCATATAGAGGTTTCGAAATTGTCAAATAAACTACAGAAACTGAACTTACAAAAAGAATGTTTAAGAAGACTTTTAATTAGAAAGCTTATGCTTTCAAATTCTGTATGTTTGATAAAGAATAATTTACTACTTAAATTATAATAAGTAGATAGAAGCAGAAATAATTTAATTTTAAGCACTTGACAAATTACGATCTTAAAGATCTTTCGTTCAAAAAACTCTGTTACAGAAGATATTATAAACGCTCAAGGAGGCTTTCTTCTATGCTTTCGGGCTTGAAGACCTGAAAGCTTTATTTGCGTTAAACACCGGTGTCAGAATTAGCAATTACTATTGCGCATTACATGATAAATGAGCTACGAAGTCACCGAGCTATCAAATGATCTTATCCATACCCATTACAAAATGGATTAATGTCTAATATAGTTTCGTAGTGTTCAAACATGTTGCACTTTATTCTATTGTATTCTAAGGCACATGCACTATTATCCTTGTGCTAATAGTACGTTTGATTAATTGCTATAAATGTTTCATTAAATTAAAAGTTGGCATTTTGTGTGTGCAGACCTTTTACGTACTTTGTCGAGAAATAAGAAATAAAATAATACGCAATTGATAAATTTTAGTAAACATTATTACATAGAATGTAAAAGTACAAAAAGCTTTTCATTTCCCTTTTTTAAACTTTAAATGAAAACTGCGTAGTATTTTGAAAAATAGATTCTAAATTTTGAGGAATGAATTTTATACCTTGCGTAATAAACCGTGGCTGTCTTTTTATAAGTGATTTTCGAATGGAAGTATACTATACGTAAACGGACATGAACAGAACATAATCCTAAAAAATGATAGCATATTTAACTCCGTTCAATGAAACAGAAATTTGTTGCAAATTTCGAATTTTATGTTAGTATGTAATCTATAAACAAATTGTTCAGTTACGAATTATGAAAATTTTACTTGTAATTTAAAAAGAATTAAAATAATTTTGAAGATGATTAGTTTTTTTTAATTATCATAAATAGAATAACTTATGTTTAGGTCATATTTGAATCATTTCACTGCTTAAGAAACAATCAAAAACTATACTGGTGCTATGAGCTGCATCTGTTAAGTCATTTCGTTCTCATTTTGATGTCAAAGTTTAGAATTAAATGATACATATGTTGTTAAAATGTGTATAGTGTTTTAAGATGGATGTTGTAATACTGTTATGAGCATTAAAGCAGTTGCGTTCAGAAATGTTTACAAATGTACATAATTTTGTTGTTATTAAGTGTTACAAAATCTTGAGAATTTAGAGATTTTGTTAAAATCCTAGAATACGATACGGCATTGGCGCGATTTTGAAAATTGTCGCCAACACCAAAATGACTCATTTGAACCTATCCGATATATCACTAGTCCCCAAAAGTCGCCAAATCCCGTGGGTACCGTATACAGTCTGTCTATCATAAGAAAAGCTCTCGCCAGTTAGTCTGCAGCCGTCTGTTGCCGTAGAAACGAGTCTTGACCCATTTTCCGTACTTGTGTCTTGAAGACGAATGATAAATTCTTTTCCCCTCAGCAAAAAAAAAAAAAAAGCAATTCTTGTACTTGGTTCGGTCCTTTTTGGAAATATACTAGCCCTGTTGCTATAGCAACCGCCCCCTGCGGAGCTGTTCTTCTCGTAGACAGACAGATCAGACTGAGATTTTAAGTATGTAAAGTTTTTTTTTGTTATTGTTATTATATCCGTGCGTTATTTTTTTATGTATTCCCCTGGAAAAAAACTTCAGTATTTTATATATGGAATTTTAACAGTTCAACAGCAGAACTTACATAACATTTAAAAAAGTAAAGCTTAAAAACCTCTACAGCGTGTTTTATGAACTCCTTTTTTATGTAATAATGTAATTAAATGTTTACATTTTCTGTAAACACATCCACGGTGAAAATTAAACCTACCTTTTGCATTAACATTAGAACTATACAGCACACTATTCATTATTTTATATTATTGTAATTTTCTCAACTTCATTTATCCGATATCTTTAAACTGATGCAAATTACATGAGGAAAACGATAATTTAGTGTTATTATATTTGTTTCTCATATATCTTCCTTAATTACCAAAAGGAAAAAAAAGGTGTATATATATAAAGCTGCATTTGAAATATATCTCTATTTTTATAGAGCTCTAAATTCATAAATTATTTCAAATTATATTTATGACTATTCTGCAAAATTCTTAAAGAAATCCCATATACTTCTGACCTAGAAAACAGTTCAAGTTATAAATACTGAGTGTTCGAATTAGGATTCCGCAAATATAAATCATTTGCTACTAATCTTATTTTCTTGCATATTCTTTGTAGATATTAAAATTCTTCTCGCATTTTACAGGATTTTTTTTTAATTCTTGAAAGCTGTTTGTATTGCCAACGGCTAGATATAAATCATGGGTGAAATACTGAGATATTATATTAGTTAAAAAATGTTTATATGTTATTTTACTTTTTTACAATTAAAGAAAATTTATATTCTGCACTTACAGAGAATATAAGTTCTAATTATTTAAATAAGATACGAATGTATACTAGTAAATAATTTTATTATTAAACGATATGCATCAGAAAAAAAAAAAAGGCTTTTAGTGTCATATATGTTAAATAAATTTATGAGAAGTTGAGAATGTTCTTATTATTGTTACCCAATGTATGATTGTAATTCAATGAAAACTTTCTTTCTGCAATGATTTTTTGCAATACAGCACTGAAACCTTTCGTTCACAAGTACTTTCTATATGTTTTAAGGATTTGTTGTTTCAAGTTAAGAATACCTTAAAGAAATGTGTGAACTGTGAATTGTGCTTGTTTGTAACCATCCACAGTGTGAAATAAATGTTGCTATTTTCATATGAAAAAAATAATTTCCAGTAATGTAGTTATTACACGAAAATCATTTAACCACCTACAAAATTTCACACAGTCATCTCACAAAACGCATTAGAAAATTCAAAACTATCATGCTGTAGAATCGTTAGGTTTATGAAACAGGAAACGTGAAAAATACGCAGTGCCCTTGCTGAGAATGGAACTTCAGATTTCTACTCTGCTAGTTGGACGTGTTTCCAATTACACCACGAAAGCAGGTGGTAAGGAGGGAGAATATACCTTACATTCTTCTTCATTGGTATTAAGAATGCGGGGATGTGACGAATTCCCAAATTTTAGTTTGGCGTCACTTGTACAGCTATTAGGTTTGTCAAAGCAGGAAACGAAAATTGTGCAGTTGCTTAGCCGAGATTCTCATTCCGGAACTCCCTAATGCTAGCCGTAAATGCATCCAATTACACCACGAAGGCTTGCGATAAGGATGGAGAAAATATCTCGTTAAAATAAATATCAACGTTACGATGTTCCTTTATTTTACAGCAAAATATTTAACAAAATTTAAAAAATTTGATTCTAAAATGTTCGTTTTTTCCCTCTGAATAATTTAGCATGCCTAGGTGAAATACCTTAAAAATTTCATATGTGGTTAAAAAAGAAACAAAAATATTAAAAAAGGAATCATCACAGTAATTTGTATCAATTCTCAGCAATCAAAAGAGACATTCCCGATATTCAAAAGTCACTCAGAAATAAAATGAAAACTGTTAAAATAAAGAAGGGCTATGAAATTCTACATTTGAGCCACGGGCCATTTCCATCCAAGCTCAACCTTCACAGGAGAACACAACAATGAACGAATGACTGCAGCAGATGAATGCTAGTAGTTCAGCTCGGGTTTCACAGTCGGGGCAAACAGCCCAGCTGCATGGAGTTTCT